TTATTTTGCATCCCTTTCATTAATTAGCCTAATTCATATTTTATAACCATATCCGTCCAAGAAAATCGTTGAGGATTTAGGCTTTTTTGGGAAGGGTTTATTATATAACTGAAATGGTCGAATAACTTTTATCAACATATTTTGTGAAACTTACTAACATTATTCATTTATCCCTCACTTATTTCTATCTATTTATAATTTAAATTGATTACAGTCACTAAACAAAAAATATTTTCCCCTCATAGTATTTGGGTAGAAACAATCATGAGATGCTCTAAATATCGAGAGAGTGAAGATCATAACTTGACATTAAAAAAAGAAGAAAAATTAAAAACACGTGCTACAATCAGCAAGGTTTAACTTTTAAGTAAAATTAAAACGTAATGCAACAAATAAGAACAACAAAGCCAATATAGCCATCCAAATTAAAATCGTGCTTCTTTTTCTCTAGCCCTTTCCATTGTTTTCGCAGCAAAATTCCAACAACTGAATTCTGTACTTTTTCACCATTGGCTACTTTCACTTCCAAGTACAAATCTAATACCCGTCTTTACGGTAAACAACAACTTAGATAGGGGTGGGTACGGGTCGATTCGAATCAAAATTTTTAGGTATTTAATAAATGGAACCGTCGGGTCCAAATATAATTATAGAACCGTTCGGGTTCGGTTCCATTCGATTCAGTTCGATTCCGTTCAATTTTGTACTATAATTAAATTTTTTAACATTTATAACAACATTATATAAATACAACTAATAACACATTCAATGATTTTGAAATATCAGAAACTAGTAGACTACTTTATTCAAATAATCGCTACTGTCAAAATTTCGGTTGGCGAAGGTCACAGTTTCGATCGAAGGTCACAGCGTCGGTTGACGATTGTATAGATTTTGGAAAGTCAACGAGGCTACAAGAGTCGAGACAGCGTTATATACTTTAGTGTAAGTGTTTAAGGTTATTTAGTGGGTTGGATCTTGTTGGGCTAAGAAATGATACAATAAAATGAGTAATTGAGCCAAAAATTAAAAAATTAGAAATGAAACAAATTATTGGACCAAAAATTTAGATTTAGAAATTGTTAATTTGTTTAAAAAAAATTAAAATTAAAATAATTTGATTTATTCAATATAAAAAAAAAATTAGAAAGATTCAGTTCTTATTCGGTTCTTGGTCTAGAACCAAGAACAGAACCGTACCCGTCGATTCTCAATTCAGATACCCGTTCAGGTATTTAATTTGACAAGAACCGTTAGGTTCGGGTCGGTCCATTCGTTTCAAAAGATTTGCTCATCCCTAAACTCAGGTCGAAATACTGGAGTAGAATGTTTTTCATCGACCATATTAATATTAGAAACTAAAATCGCGAGAAAACAGTATCTCGAGAATTACAAACCAAATAGTAAGTTCGTTTGAAACCTAAGCATTATCAGAATTCAGATACATAAAGTATTAACTCGGGAAATAGAAATAAAAATAAAAATAAAAATGAAAAGGAAGACTACCAAGTGCAACTGGTCTGCAAGTTCCTCCTACAGTTACAAGACTTGTTTTACAGCTAACACAAAACCACAAGCGGAACACACAGCAAATACACTCATTCCGCCAAAACTGTCAGGAATCAACTTGATCAAAATCCCAGTAACTGTTTACACTTTTACTCAACTGTCTTCCAATCTCGATTTATGGTTATTCAGGAATCATTTGCTCGTTGTCAGCATCACCTTCCTCCTCGATTTTAGGCTTTGATGGACCTTGGCTTGCTCCAGGTGCCTGCTTCTTCTTGATTCCACTCACTATATCGTCAATTCTCAGAAGCATGCAAGAGGCTTCTATGGCAGTCTTGAATGCCTGTGCCTTCACAGTGTACGAATCCCATATCTAGAAATTCATACAATCAATTAATACATGGGAACCATACGAATAGTAAAAGTACACTTTAAAAGGATAAATGTGAAGTGATTAAGATAATTTGTAACTCAAAACACTTTAGCAATTACAAAACTGTCCAACTATAGGTACAAGAATGAATAGCTTTGATACTTGAGAATGTTAAATGTTTGTAAATAATCCCTTGTTTGAAAGTGATTAGTTAAAAGTTACTTCTCTATCACACTCATTTTTAGCCATACATTCTCAAATAAATACTAGAAAAATAAAAAATAAAATAATTCATTTTTCACGTTTCCCCATATCTTTTCCATACTTTTTAACATCACTTCTCAAAAAATCATTTTCACATAAGCACTAAATAATTATGTTTAAAAAGACGTAACTAAAGCATTTACCATCATGAGACTTGGTGTAAGCATCAAGGCACTTTGAGGTGTAAACCTCATAGTAACCCAAAAAATGTCTTAAAAGTTGTTGAAATGCAAACTAAACTCATAATAATAAACAATCTTCAAAATACCTGCAAATAATTTGAACTGTGCAAACAAACATGAGAATTTCTATCACAGAACGGCTATGTTAGTTCGTGGTGGCAGTATGGGTCTTATGAGAAACAGGAAGCTGGGCTATTTTCAAAAAGCCAGTTGGAATATTTTATGTTTTGTGGGCCACAAACCTTGGGCATTGCTGTGAGGCACACGCCTCACATTAACTATGGCATAAGCCTCAAACTACCTCAAATCAGCACCTTGAGGCATTTTTTGCACACTAAACTCTGTGGTGGGCCTTAATGTGGGTCTCAATTGATTGATTTATTTATTTATTTTAAACCAATATTTCTCAGTAACCATTGGCAATTTTAAGTTAACAGCAGATACTACCTACTAATTATAACCAACACTAAAGCAAAAAAGGGGCAAAAAAAAAAAAAAGAAAGAAAAAAAATTCATACCTTGCGCTCTTCCATATCAGCAATTTCACCGGTATTCCCATCTATGCCAATCCATGCGTTCTCACCATTTGCATGCTATATATAATATACAACAATTCTGAGATACACTTATGAGTTACTATATCAAAGTAAACACAAGGAAGGAGATTTTACCTTTCCTTGCAAGGCAGTCATAGTTCGAATCACGTTGACTCCACAGTTCTGTGCCAAAGTCCGTGGTATAGCCTCAAAAGCAATTGCAGCAGCTTCATAAGGCCACTGTTAATGCATAAACGCACGTATTAGAAAGTTAAATTCAAAATAATAATAATAATAATAATAATAATAATAATAATAATTATTATTTCATGTTTCTGTATCATAAAAAATATACGTGTTACATGTGCAAGCTAAGTGCTCAAATGACTTCATGATTCCAAATAAAATTTTGACTGCAAGTCTGCAACAGATGATACTTATATTGTTTATGAGTAGAATTAGTTAAGGTTGTATCTACTATGTACCCAGTTACTGCAATATGCTCATGTTTGATCGACTCTTAACAAATGGATTTTAGCAACGTTTTCTGTTCTGGAGTTCAGAGGTAAAACATGATTATTTAAAGTTAAAAGAAGATTTTTCTGAAAAGAGACAGAAACAAATAAATAATTGCAGACCAGAGCATGGAACATTGTGCTTCACCTTTTCTATGCCTTCAATAGAAGAACTTCTTAGCTTCAACATAGCAGAGACAGTCAACTCAGTAGCACCTCCACCAGGAACAAGTTTTGGATTTTTTATTATATTTCTTGCTACTGACATTGCATCCTGTTCAGACATTTTGGAAACTCTCAGTGACCTAAATAGGTGATAAAAAAATATTGGCATACAAAAATCAAAGATACCTGCAAATTTCTCTCCACTTCATTCAGAAGATCCTTGCTAGCACCCCTCAAAAGTACTGTGCATGCTTTTGGATCTTTGCAATCAACAATGAATGCAAAGTACTCATCTCCAATTTTCTTCACCTCGAATAGACCAGCACCAGTACCAACATCAGATTCCTGCAACTCATCGGGTCTATTAACAATAACTGCCCCACATGCCTTGGCAATTCTGTTATTGTCCGTCTTCCTAAGCCTTCTGATTGCACTGACACCGGCTTTACTTAGATAATGGCAGGCCAGATCACTAAGCCCCTTTTCAGTTATTACCAAATCTGGTCTAAACTTCAATATCTGCATGCATAGGTTCTCTACGTATTCTTCTTCAATTTTTAGCAAGACACTCCAATCTTCTTCTCTTAACAATTCGGCATTGGTTTGGTTCTCTCCTTTCTTGTACTCAAGGGGGCAATCAAGAAGGATGATTCTTGGATTTAGTATTTTTCTTCTCATTTTACCCGGAGCAACAACGTCCTTGTTAAACATGACTCCTTTCAAAACCATTGAATCCTCCAACTGGCCACCAGGAACCTTTTCTACCTTAATGTACTTCTTGATATCGACCTCACGTAGACCTTGGCCAAGATCCACACCAACTGTGGTTGTGGCATCTATTGCTAAATCCTGAAAGTTTCATCAAAATAAATATCCTGTGGGTACTACTTATAATCAAAATATGAACAACAAAACATTGTACTGTTATGGATGTGTTTTAATTAGGTTTTCTCATAAAATCATAATTTTATGTTATCTAACGTTTCACCTAATACGGAACAAGTAAAATTCTTTTTTATCTCACCTTCCATATTAATGCGGCCAGCATAGAATCCAGTTTTCCAAGACGCACGAAATTTAATACATAAAGGGATATAGTGTGTACATTTTTATGTTGGGAAATGGGAGAATGAGCAAGAGGGGGTGTTGTTGGACAATAACTGTGCAAAGGTTAACCATGAGTGAATACTTACTGCTATCAGATCCCCAAATTGACTAGTAAATTTTGTCCCAATAGAACTCTTGACAAGTCCTAACATAGATGCACCTGCCAGATAAACATTCTGTACCCATTAGCATAATTAGATACACAACATTAGAATTCCAAGAGAGATGGATAACTGGGAATCTTGAAAACAAATGTAACAATGTCTTCCCAACATTTGATACAAGGAAAACACTAGATGACTCAACAAAAGCCTAAAGTGATGTCACTTCGAGTTGAATAAAAAATCGCAATTTGAAACAAAAACTCTACCACATCATAGATTAAGTTAACGACGGATGGGAATACTGTTCGAAAGAACTTCATGACAAGCCTTGTTCCATCATCAATAAGTAAAAGATGGGGCATATGTCCTCTTTTATCAGTTGAAACAGATGAACTTAATAGATAAACTAAGACAAGTTTTGATATGACGCCAATTAATTGCGAATGCAGTGCCCTAAGTCTCGTTAAAGCAGTGAGCAACAACTAAAAGTTCAGATAGTGTGGAAAAAATATAAGTAAACAACAAAAGAATATTAAGAATAAAGAATGAAGGATCTGATGCACTGTGAACATTTATATAAATAGTAAAACAGTTTAGAGCCAATCTGAACAATCGTGCTAGGCTTTTACCATACTTCCAATTTAAAGATCACAGCTGAAAACTAAACAATTTTTACTATCCATTTTGCAGATCCTGTCGTCAAGTTCAAAAAAGTATTTGCCCACAAGATATAATTCTTTAGCGTTCTCTAACAAGCAGGCCACAAAGGGCAGCCAAGAGAAGAGAGCTTAGGGGAAAGAAACATTACCATGGCATAAAGATGAGAAAATATTTTAATGACATAAAAAAACATTACCATGGCATAAAGATGAGAAAATATTTTAATGACATAAAATATATGTGCTGAACGTGAAAGTAATAAACAGAAGTGCCTTATAGGGAAAAGCTGGCTTTACATATTTTTGACAAGAAGACATGTTCACAATCCTTGCCACAAGGAACAAGCCAAAAAATCCACATCATTCTAAGTAAGAGTTTGTAGTTAAATATGAAATATTTCCAGACTTTCAATTATAAAAATAGAGAGGTAAAACTTACGATCCTTCACGTCGACAGTCACAGCAATTTTGTCAAGCACGGCAATGGCATCCTCTAGAGCTTTATTATAAGCTATAGTGCAGTAGCATAGGAAACTTGTCACCCTGGAGAACAGGAGAACAGAAAATAGCATAGGAATAGAATATTACCTCGACAGATGACTGTAGGATGATAGTTTTTGTCAATGAAGGCTTCTGCGACGTGGAGCATTTCACCAGCTTCAACAAAAAAAATTACGCAAAAATTGAGCCTTCACCCGTAATCATCAGTGTATATAGTATTTCTTTATTTTTTTTTATTTTATATTTTTTGGCACACTTCAAACCCTTAGCAATGAAGCCTCAAGCCATCATGACACCACATTACAATTCTCCAAACCAGCATATTATAGGCTTTTCATTTAAATCTAGCAATTTTTTTCTTTTTTTGGGGGGTGGGGGGGGGGGGGGGGAGCTTCTGATCCAAAAATGCCATTCAAAATGCAAAGTCCAAAATTTATCATGCTGTGGGAGATTGAGTTGAGTAAATAAAAAGAGTGAAATGACATTAATGATCAAAAGAAAGGAACCAGTCTTGCTTTGGTAGTGGATGGTTAGAGAAATCACCCATGCGATCAATCTCCATTCACACCCATTAATATAACGAATGAAACATCTTGGTTAGAAGAACCCACATATACATCACAGAGGGGTACCAAAAAACATGAGTAAAAGTAAGCAATCTTTACCAAGAACGATAACAGATGTTGTTCCATCTCCTACCTCCTCGTCCTGAGTTCGGCTTAGCTCAATCATCGACTGCCACCAAATCCGAAAAGCATATATGCAAAAGAGCAATCAAGAAATAAAATTAGAGTTAAGCATACAGAGCTACATTCAGAGGAACACAATACAAGTCAAATGCAAGCAGGTGTTAATAGGAGTTAAACTGCTTAAAATTAGAGAAATTCAAGGGGAAAGAAAAGAAGAAAGAGATTTTACCTTCGCCGCAGGATGTGCAATATCTAACTCTCGGAGAATAGCATTTCCATCATTCGTCACCACAATACCTGATATGCAGAAAATGAGATTTGATCAAAGACAGTATAAAATGAAACAAGGAAAGAGAAAACTGAGTTAAATGAATCGTTACATACACTAATTAGCAATAACAATAATAATAGTTCAAGAAAATAAATTCCCCTTAGATATCTTTTAAATAAGGGAAAATATGGTTCATAAGGTCACCTCCAGTTGCATCAAGCAGCATCTTCAGCATAGATCGTGGACCCAAAGTAGTACGAATAATATCAGCGACAGCCTAAAAAGGATAATCAAAATTTCGGTAAAGATAAATTTAATTTAAAGATATGGGATAAAAATGGAACAACAGCATCATGGTAAACCGGGATAAAAATGGAACAACAGCATAATTGTAAATCATTGAAATAAATTTTGCAAGAATTATACAAAGGTGAAAATTCACTCATGTAACATGGAGATACTTCAAACAAATCATAACCTAATGACATTTCAAAAATACTTTCAAGAAACTCATAAGGCCAATTAAAGTTGGCTATTTCATGCTAATCATCTTAGAGTTACACCAATAAAACAACCCCTTCCTCCAAACCAACCAAATAGAAAATCTACAGCTTGAATGTTGCATAAGTGTAAACTTTACTTCACTAGATACAAATACCATACAGAGCTCAATCAACTTACAACCATGTTACTTTTTAGCGAGGGGCAAGTTGACAACCATTAGCAGACAAAGATTAACAAGAAAGAGCATGAGAATTTGTCCTACCTTCGAAGCTTGAATATTACCATAGTGCACCTTGTTTCCAGACTCCCGCTTCAATGAATCTTCTGCTCCATTAAAATAGAATTACACATCAGCAAAGGTAGAAGGTACAACAAGTTAATGGATAGCACAAGCAAATAAAGCCTGAAAAACAGTAGCCTTCTTTCAGCAGCCATTACTGGTGCTGGATGATAAAAATGCATTATACAAAAAGTTATAATTTTAATCAAGCATTATACTTCTATTGGCAAATAGGTTTTTGGTTCAAAGAGGAAGAGAATAAAGTATTGCAGTTCACCTTGTGCTTACATCAAACGAAGCACTCGGCTCCACTTTGTTAACATAAGACATAAGAAAGCTGTTTTAAACAGAAGGAAGTCCTAATTCATTCCATGGTTTTGTTTTGTCCCAATTCTGAGTTACACGAATTCCAGCCTCTTTTGGCTATGTGATGTGTGAAATCAGCTTACATGTAGTTGCTTATAACTAGCATTCTCGAGTGTGGTTTGAGGTAAGTGGTTAGGGCTCAAATGGATGGCATGGGTATAGCTATCTCGCCCTCCTCCACTCAGTACAACGCACTCTCTTCAACCCCCTCGGCAGTTTACAATGGCAAGTTCATCGATATTTTTTTCGCGCAATAATAGTCTACCCCAAAGATCACATTTCAAACATCAAGGTAGTAGGCTACAAAAGTCAATCAAATTGGACCAGCAGTTCAAATTGCGGTGTTAGATTCACATAAATCAAGCTTTCTTAACTTCACATGTAATGTATAATACTAGATTCAATACATAATCCCTTTCTTTCACACCCTACGTGGATATTTAAAATGGAATCCAGGTTTTCTAAACAGATATTTAAAGCATTGCGAGTTTACAATAGCTGGTTTGTCAATCTTTCTCTCACACAATAATCAGCTTTTCCCACACACCGCGAAGATCACACTCAAACTAGCAGGCTACAAACTCAAGAATATCAGACAAAGTTCAAATCACGGTGTTACATTAAATATCTCAGGCTTTATTAATTTTACAAATAAAGTCCATGCTCCCCCTCCTCCACATCCTATAAAAAATCCTAAACTGGATCCTTGTTTAGTAACTCTAGTTCGCATGGATACACCAAATGCAGTTGCCTCGATTAAGCCTTTTCAACACGTGACTAAGAGGACCAAATGAATACATCAAACCAGAATTTTACATCCATATAATTACTTACGCAGAGAGTTCCCTTCTTCAATCCACACTTTCACTTATTCCGCCAAAAAAAAAAAAAAAAAAAAACCTCTTCTACTGGACATATAAAATTCAAGAATACAGCGAGAAAGAAACAGCAGCACAAAAAGGGCATAGAATTAAAAAAAAAGAGAGAGAGAGAGAGAGAGTTAAGCAAAAAGACTAATAATACTTACTGAGAACGAGGACAGGGGCATGCATTTTCCGCTTCGATCTTAACTTGATTAGAACAGAAGTACTAAATTAGCAGAGAGGATCGAGTGAAGAGAAGACAGAAAAGGCAGCTTTGAATGCTTGATTCAACGTCCAGAAACCCCTCGAAGGGTTTTTGGAATAGAACAGTTGGAATTGAGAAAATGGACCAAAGCGGGCCCAGCCGGGTGGGTCGGATCTTGATGGAAGAAAAAAGAAGAAAAAGAATTGGAGCCCGACCCATGTATGTCGACTACGGGTTGAAATTCAACCGGGCCAACCCACGAACAATCGCTTAGTGGCATAAACGGTCCAATTTGAACCATTGAATAGAGGGAAAACTTGACAGCTGCAAGCTTTTCCATCTACAATATTTAAAAACGAAGAATTGAGAAGAAAATTTTGAATATCAATTTTACCCATATATATTTAGCCGCTATTTGTCTCTTTTTAAAAAGAATTCTTTAATTTTTATATTTATTTTCAATCACACATTCACATAATAATATATTTTGCACATAAATCAAAATATCTCCCTTTTTTAATGACACGTTATTCAAAAATTACTATTCAAAACATTATTTTTCTTAATTGTTATTTGATTTTCATTATTTTCGAAATACATTTTATTTCTCTTCTTTTTAACCATACATATTTCAATAAAATAATATTTCATGTAAATTCAAAACTAATCATTATTTTTTAAGCACATATTTTCCATCAATATACTATCTCAATATACAATTTTATCTTAAAAAAGGGAGTTCAAAGAGGCTCTTAATAATGGCCATCATTAAAGCTATATCAAAAATACCCTTAACGTCTATTATCACCCAGTTTGAGCCGAATTCTTTAAAAAATATATATTTTTAAACAGTAATTTGACATCATTTTAATAATATATTTTTCAATAAAATAATATTACACGCAAATAAAAAACTATTCATAATTTTTTAACCACTGATTCTCCATCAATCAACTATTCCAAAATACATTCTTTTAAAATAATGTGACTCAAACACACGCTATGCCCATGTTTGACCCTCATTATTTTTCGTTAAGCCCTTGTTTGAGTTTTATTCTTTTGAAAAAATGCATTTTTAAACAGTGTTTTGACATAATTTCAATTACACATTATTCAATAAAATAATATTACACATTCAAAAATTTTCCTTATTTTTTAAACACACATTTTCTATCAATACACTATTCAAAAATGCATTTTTCCCCAAAATGGGGCTTAAACAAGGGCTAAATTATAATTCATTTTCTCTTTTCTTATCAATCACACATTTTTCAATAAAATAATATTACATGTAAATTCAAATTTTTTCTTCTTATTTAAGTCACTTATTCTCCAAAAAATTATTATTTTTCTCATTATTATTATTTTTCTCATTATAATGTGGAATAATAGGCACCAAACAGGCACTGTATTCGATTTAATACACCTGACACTTTTTTCAAGCATTCTTCTGATATTTTAATTTAATTATGCATATTTTACTTTAGGTAAATCATTCGTTTTAATTGTTCTGCTAATCCCATTTAATGGTTTTTTATCATTTATTTTTTAATTATGCACGTTTTCCTTTTGTTCAAATGCAAGAGAGGCTCAAGGACTCATTTTTCATGATTTTTAATAATTTATTTTTATAGCTTCATTTCCTATACTTCCTTGTTCCACCCTCCACTATTTTCTCTCTCACTTTCAGTGTCTCTTGCTCCCAAATTTTCTCCATAAGATAAATCAGGGTAATTGTTACTGGAATCGTGTGTTTTTGTTTCTTAAAGTCTCAAGGGAACACAATTTAGAACTAATTTTTAATTTTAAGTTCTTAGCATTTATTTTTATAATTTTTTTTTTTTTATCATCATAGCATTTGTTTTTATAAATTTTTTTTTATCATCATCTTCTTTTGTCTTTCACGGGATTAATAGAAGAGAGGTGCATGTCTCCAATAATACGGAATCTAATCAGATCGAATCGTATCAAATATGTTTACTTGGATTTCAGGCAAAACCAAAACAAGAAATTAAATGTGTCATTACTATCGACAAATTAAATGAGTTATAACACTTTATATTTTTGTGATATTGGATATATTCAATAAATATAAATTATACATCGATTTTTATGCTCTAATATTCACATGTCTATATACTTTCTAAGGCCTTGTTTGAGCCCTATTATTAAGAAAAAAATACACTTTTAAATAGTGATTTGACATCATTTCGACCACACATTTTTCAATAACATAATATTACCCGCAAATTTAAAACTTTTCCTTATTTTTTAACTACACATTTTCCATCAATCTACTATTTCAAAATACATTCTTCAAAAATAATATAGCTCAAACATATACTACATTTGAACTGGCATATTTATATTCAAACGGGTCTAGTAATTTCAAAATATATTTTGAAGTTGCCATTCCCAATAAAGCAGGAAGGGAAAAATTCAATTTTATATACTTAAGTGTGGAAGTTGTTGTAGTAGTACTAAAATTTAGTAATTTTTGGACATACTTGCTTATTGTCAATTCAATTCTATATTTGATAATTTGATACTTTTAGTTCTTCATCCTCAAGGTATATTCTTTTTTGGTAATTTAATTTTGTATTTGATTCTCATTTTCCATTTTTCTGTAGAATCTAAAAATTAGGATTCCAAATTCTGCTTGCCGAATAAAATTTAACTCTCGTTTTGTACTTGAATTACATGTCTCAAAATTATTACTGTTCTCCAAATTTTATATTTATGTCCATAATAGCTTAAAACTCTTTTTCATGGTAATTTCTTTCAGTAATGTAAGAATTAGTGTTTGCATCTATTAAAGAGTTTTATTCAAGGAATTTTTTTTTTAATACACGGTTTCAATATTCTTCATCTCGGGTTGAATTTATATTCTCCAATTTGGTATATTATTTATGTCTCTACTTGAAATGTTGTGTGTTCAAATAATTTGAATAGGTGTGAATATTATTATATGATTTACATATTTCTAGATTATGTGAACTACAAATAAGAATGTCGTGAATATTTTTATATGGTATACATTTTTGTAGATTATGTGAACTACAAGTAAGAATGTTCTTTCAATGTTTTAGTTTGTTTAGTGTAAATGAGTTTCCTTTTTTTTTTTTTTATTGAGATTTATATTATTGTTAAATTTTAAATTATGTTAAACTATCTCATTACTCATATATAGACAGAGATGGGAGTATCCTAGTAAGTGTATATCTCTCCTCTGTTGCTTTGATTTTGACACATTAGAATGAGGATCCAAATTATATGCAGTTCCATCAATTTATTTATATCAATGTTTAGTCTAATAATTATCCCTTGTAAAGAGTTAGCAATCAAAGCTAATCCTCAACTTATTTAAAAGGTCAAATAATTGTGTTTTTTCACTCTCATTTTTTTTTTTTAATTTTTAATTTTGTGCTTCCCACTAACTTCAGCGAAATTTTGACACATTAGAATGAGGATCCAAATTATATGCAGTTCCATCAATTTATTTATATCAATGTTTAGTCTAATAATTATCCCTTGTAAAGAGTTAGCAATCAAAGCTAATCCTCAACTTATTTAAAAGGTCAAATAATTGTGTTTTTTCACTCTCATTTTTTTTTTTGTGTAATTTATATTTGTTTCAAAGAGAGATATATGAAATCGGTTCATCATCGAAGAGTTTTTTTTTAATTTTTATTTTTGTGCTTCCCACTAACTTCAGCAAATGATGAACGATATCCATTCAAATTCAAGAGAAAACAATTTTCTGTACGTCTATATTTTGCAATAACCATTAACAAGACTCAAGGACAAATAATGTCTATAGTTGGAATATACCTTCCCCAATATATATTCTCTCATGTGCAACAATATGTCACGAAATTTCAGTGCAAACAATAAAAATTTTGGTAAAGCAGAAAATAAAACGAAGAAAAACTGTGGACGTTAACAAAAAGGGTAACTAGCACAAAACGTCCATACCTTTCAATATTATTGTGCAAAACGTCCCTACTTTTCTTTCTTTCTTTTTTTTTTTTTTTGCATTTTCACCCATATTTTCACATTTCATTGTGAAAAACGTCATTTTCATCAATTTTTAATGCAAAAGGACCAATATATCCTCTTATTTAAATAAAACAAAAAAGAAAAAAAAAATTAAAGAACAAATTGCAATCTTACTCCTAAACTTTTTAAAAAGTGCGAATTAGTTGAAATAAATTATTAAAATATTAAAAATAACAAAAAAAAAAAAACTCTCTCTCTTCTCTTATTCTTCTGCTCCCCCTTTCCCTGCCTCCTCCACCACCAAATATGCCCGCCACCTTGAAAGCCAAAAAACTCAGGCCAACCACGGGCCAAACCTTTGGATCTCTACACCACTGGAACGATCGCAGACCGCTCTTCACATCCAACCTTCATGCTAATAGATTAGGTTGGAATTACAAGCCAAAATGCCCAACTTGCGAATGTAAATACTCACGGCACTACTTATTTCGGCAAGACCCATGCCATTCCTAACACACCGATCGACTATACTTACCAAGGTGCTTCTCTTTATGGTCTTAAAACATCAACAGATGCAAGAAATTAGCTTTCAATTTTTTATTAGACAATAACTGACCAGAAATTTTGGAGCATATTAGAATGAAATTGATGGAAGCCCATTGTTGTAGTAGGTGCCAAGTGATGTGGCGAAGTGAGAATGGGTGGTTCGTGATGGTGAGAATTATTGTTGGCATTGAAATTGACAAAAAAACATAGCATGTTGCGTAGGATAAGCTACATTTTTTTGTTGATTTTGGGCATATAAATTTGTTTATGGAAAAGTGTTTGGGGGTTGATGGCAGTTTTTTGTAGTGTGAGCTCTGTGTTTTAGGCGACGAATGGGTGGGGGTTGGTGAGATGGTGGTCAGCAGTTCCATGAAGGTAAAGTTATTTTTGGTGGGCTGATTTGTAAGTTTTTGAAAAGTTTAGGACTAAGATTGCAATTTGTTCTTTATTTTCCTTTTATTTTCTATTTTGTTTTATTTAACCAGGAGGGTGTATTGATAATGTTTGCATTAAAAATTGGTGAAAATGATGTTTTTCGCAATGAAATGTGAAAAAATAGGTGAAAATGTCA